TGTGTGTGTGTGTGTGTGTGTGTGTGTGTGTGTGTGTGTGTGTGTGTTTGTGTACTTGGTCACAGTTGTGCATAAGAAAGAACAAAATGCACTCAATTGCTACCCACCCATCTTTTCCTTTTTCTTAAATTTTAATTACAATGTATTCACTTTATATCCCAGCTCTAGCTCCTTCCCTTATTCACTCCCAATCCCACTCTCCCTCCCTCATTTTCTACCATCCCCCTCTCCAAGTCCATTGATAGGGGCACTCCTCCTCTCCTTCCCTGTGACTCTAGCTTATCAGGTCTCATCAGTACTGGCTGCATTGTTTTCCTCTGTGGCCTGGTAAGGCTGCTCCACCCTCAGGGGAAGGTGATCAAAGAGCCAGCCACTGATTTCATGTCAGAGACAGTCTCTGTTCCTCTTACTAGGGAACCCACTTGGAGAATGGGCTGCCACAGGCTGCATCTGAGCAGGGGTTCTAAGTTATCTCCATGAATGGTCCTCGGTTGGAATATCAACCTCAGAAAAGAGCCCTGTGCCCAGTTCTCTTGGCGCTGTTGCTCTCCTTGTGGAGCTCCTGTCACCTTCAGGTCTTTCTATCTTCCCCTTCTTTCCTAAGATTCCCTGCCCTCCACCCAAAGTTTGGCTATGAGCCTCAGTATCTGCTTTGATACATTGCTGGGTAGAGTCTTTCAGAGGCCCACTGTGGTAGGCTCCTGTCCTGTTTCCTGTTTTCTCCCTCCTCAGATGTCTGTCCCATTTGCCTTTCTGAGTGAGGATTGATCATCTTACCCTGGGGTCCTCCTTCTTGCTTAGCTTCTTTGTGTGTATAATATCCACTTATAAGTGAGTACATGCCATGTGTGTCTTTCTGCTTCTTGGGTACCTCACTCAGGATGATCTTTTCTAGATCCCACTATTTGCCTGCTAATTTCATGATTTCCTTGTTTTTAATTGCTGAATAATATTTCATTATGTAAATGTACAGCAATTTCTATATCCATTCCTCAGTTGAAGGACATCTGGGTTGTTTCCATGTTCTGGGTATTATGAATAAAGCTGCTATGAACATGGTTGAGAAAATGTCCTTGTTGTATACTTGAGCATATTTTAGCTATATGCCTAGGAGTGGTATAGCTGGTTCTTAAGGAAGCACTATTCCCAATTGGCTGAGAAAGTACCAGATTGATTTCCAAAGTGGTTGGGCCAGCTTACATTCCCACCAGCAATGGAGGAGGGTTCCCCTTTCACCACATCCTCTCCAGCATGTGTTGCCACTTAAGTTTTTGTTCTTAGCCATTCTGATGGGTGGAAGTTAAAATCTCAGGGTTGTTTTGATTTGCATTTCCCTGATGACCAAGGACATTCAGCATTTTCTTAAGTGTTTCTCTGCTTTTTGAAATTCCACTATAGAGAATTCTCTGTTTAGTTCTGTACCCCATTTTTTAATTGTATTACTTGCTTTGTTGCTTTTTAACTTCTTGAGTTCTTTATTTTGGATTTTAGCCCTCTGTCAAATGGAGGGTTGGTGAAGATTCTTTCCCAGTCTGTAGGCTGTCTTTTTGTTCTGATGAGAGTGTCCTTTGCTGTGCAGAAGCTTTTCAGTTTCATGAGGTCCCATTTACTGAGTGTTGATCTTAGAGCTTGTACTGTTGGTGTTATGTTTAGGAAGTTGTCTCCTTTGCCAGTGATTTCAAGGCTGTTCCCCACTTTTTCTTCAAACAGGTGTAGTGTGTATGGTTTTATGTTGAGGTCTTTGATCCACTTGGACTTTAGTTTTGTGCAGGGTGATAAATACGGATCTATTTGCATTTTTCTACATTGAGCCACCTATTTAGACCAGCATCATTTGTTGAAGATGCTGTCTTTTTTCCATTTTATGGTTTTGGCTTCTTTGTAAAAAATCAAGTATTCGTAGGTATGTGGGTTTATTTCTGGGTCTTCTATTCAATTCCACTGATCCTCCAGCCTGTTTCTCTGCCAGTACCATGCAGTTTTTATTATTGTTGCTCTATGGTATAGCTTGAGATCAGGGATGGTGATACCTCCAGAAGATCTGTTATTGTACAGGATTGTTTTAACAATTCTGGGTTTTTTCTTTTTCCATATGAAATTGAGAATCGTTCTTTCAAGTTCTGTGAAGAATTGTGTTCATGGATTCAGTTTGCAATTATTTTATTATTTTTCCATCAATATTCGTAAGAGAGATAGGTCTGAAGTTCTCTTTTTTGAGTGGTTCTTTGTGTGATTTAGGTATCAAGGTGCTGTGGATCCTAGAGTGAATTTGGTAGTGTTCCTTCTGTTTCTATTTTGTGGAAGAGTGTGAAGAGAATTGAATTTAGCTCTTCTTTGAAGGTGTGGTAGAATTCTGTGCTGAAACCATCTAGCCCTGGGCTTTTTTTGGAAAGGAGACTTTTGACGGGTACTTCTATTTCCTTGGGGGATATAGGACTATTCAACTTTTTTACCTGATCTTGATTCAATTTTGGTAACTGGAATCTATGAAGAAAATTGTCCATTTCATTTAGATTTTCAAATTTTGTGGCATATAGGCTTTTGTAGTAAGACCTAATGATTGTTATGATTTTTCTCAGTGTCTTTTTGTTATGTCCCCTTTTTCGTTTCTGATTTTTCCGATTTGGATAGTTTCTCTTTCTGCACTTTAGTTACTTTGGCTAAGGGTTTGTCTATCTTGTTAATTTTCTCAAAGAACCAGCTTTTGGTCTCATTGTTTGTTTGCATTGTTTCTTTTTTCTGAATCATTGTCTTCAGCTTTGAGTTTGATTATTTCCAATCTTCTACTCCTCCTGGGTGTGTCTGCTTTTTTCCCTAGGGCTTTTAAGTGTGCCGTTAAGTTGCTTGTACGTGATGTTTCAGCTTCTCTCTGGAGGCATGTAGTGCTATGAACTTTCCTCTTAGCACTGCTTTTATCATGTCTGATAAATTTGGGTCAGCTGGCCTTCATTTTTAATGAATTTTAGGAAGTCTCTGATTTTTTTTTTCTTCATTTCTTCCTTGACTAAGCTCTCTTTGACATAAAGTCTGTGATTGTCCTGGAGCTCACCAGTTAACCTATATTGATTGACCAGTATCTTGCCTCTACACTGTCATATGAATTGCACACAACTTATTGTTCTTATTCATTTTATCTCTCTCACCAACTTTAATTTACTTTCTTACTTCATCTTGTTGTGTGCCTTTTAGTGCCAAGGTGATAGTTTTAGGTAAAATGTAAGAGCCAGACATAGAATAATTATTATAATAACTACATTTTTTAATGTGGTAAATAACCTGCTTTCTTTCCAATTTTTCTTCATTGTTTTTCTACCCTACTACTTTTGATAGAGCACAACTGTGGTTGTGTTCTTGATCAATTGTGATATTTAAATTGGGACAATAGTGTGGTTGAAATGGGTCTTGTTTATACTTTAGTTTTAAAAGCTTTAATTCATTATAATTTGCATTATTTACATTTAAGGTAGTACTTTGAGTTAGAGTATGACTTTCCTATTTCCAAAATGTCAAAAAAGAATGTAAATTAAATCAAACTTCAGTTAGCTGGTGGCTAACTGGTTTGTTTGTGTGTGTTGTATTTTGTGTTAGAATAATTTAATATTCTCTTTGATTTTTAAATAAAATTTATTTTTAATTTTAAAAATACTTGAAAATTACATAAACATATTTATTTTATTATTTTGTTTACTTTACAGAGATGGCATAGAATTTGCTTTTAAGGAGCCTAATCCACAAGGGGAGAGTCATCCACCTTTAAATTTGGCATTTCTTGATATTCTCAGTGAATTTTCTTCTAAACTGCTCCGACAAGATAAAAGAACAGTGTATGTATACAAAAAATGTTACACTTTTTTTCCTGACACACATCTGTAGCATATTAACTTATACCAACTTTCTACTTCACTTCTGTTTTTATAACTTTTAATATTATAACTTTATTCTGTGCACAGTACTGAACTTTAGTATTGTGAGTTCTACTCCCAGTAGTGATGTGCTTGTGATTTGCAACTTGAGTGCCGTGTAAGTTACTTGTTGAATATTTACACTATCCCAACCTAGAAGGTAGCATTTAAAGGATGCTGAAAATCCATCAGGTTTGTCCTGGTTAGTCTGTATCTTGAAGTGTGGTTGTGCTGCAAAACAAAACTACCTTCTTTTCCTTTAACTTCCTTTCCTCAATTTAATATTTAAAGAGTTTTCTCTGAGATAATTTTCTAAAATGGTGACTCATAAGGTAGACTTTCTAGATCCACCCTTCCCTCCAACTTTTTGAATTATAAAGGGGTAAAAAATTAGAAATACCACATAGTTCAACGTCTTTTGAAAATCCATTGTAAATTTGGTTTGCAATTCTAAAGCAGACAAAACTATTTATTTAGAGACTTGGATGTATTAAATGGGAGAGTGACACTGTGTACTTCTGGAGTTATGGGGATATTTCTTTCTTGATAAGTATGTAGATTCCATGAGTGCATAATTTGTAATAGAGATCCAACTGTACTATTAGTTTCTATGCACTTTGTTGTATATGAGTTTATTGTAATCAAAAATTATATTGCCTTGTTAAAGTTCTTTGTGTTGTAGCTATATGAGGGACTAAGAAAGAATAATTTGAGGACAGGATAGGCAACATAGTGAGACTTTTTCTTTAAAAAAAAAACATTTTAAAATTGCATTTAGTGCATATATGTGGTGGTCAGAAGATAAGTGTGCGTGGTTGTGCTTTTTTTTCTACTCTGTGGGTCCTTACTATCATCTCAGCCTTGGCAACAAGTTTCTTTACCTGCTGGGCCATCTTTGCAACCCTAGACGTTTAGCCCGTTAAGCAGAAATGCAGGTTAAACAATGCTGTTTCTTATGTAACAGATGAACAATACTAAATATCTGTGATAGCATTAAATATTTTCAATGATGTAGAATAATAGAACAGTTTATACTGTTTATTATAAGTGACTGTTATACATTTTATTATAAGTGACATAAATTGATACCTGATTGGTTTTGGAGCTATCTGACATTACCTAGTAAAGTTCAGGTTTCTTTTTTTATCTATATCCACGCTCAGTTACTTAGTTCATATATGTATACCCTATAAAAATCTTTGAGCCGTACATATAATAAGAACTTTTAAGGAACAGTGAATGTTACATTGTTTGAATGTAGAAAATGTCAAAATAACCTCTTTGTTCCTGAGAGTATGCACCAGTATGGCTCCAGTCCAAAATGGTAGATTTTAGAAACTATAATGCTGAGTACAAGTAGGAAAGTACACAACTATGCTATGATTTATAGACAACAATATCTTAGCATTTTGAAAATGAAAACATGTGGCTTATAAATAAAAAAGCTTAATAGAAATCCAGTGGCAGAGAAGCAGAAAAACAAGAATGGCTTCCATGAAAGCTATTTATTTACTTGTTTTTGTACAAGTGAATGTTTTCTTGTTTGTGATGCATGTACGTGACTGTATAAGTGCATGCATGTCTGGAAGCCAGAACAGTCTGTTGATTGTCTGGACTTCTGTGTTTTTTTCTCTGAGACCTGGTTTCTCAACCCTATTGTCCACCCCTCTAATAATCTACCCGTCTCTACTCCCTAGTACTTTAGTTAGGGCATTTGCAGCCATGTCCGGCTTTATATGTGAGTGAGTACTGAGGTTTTTGAACTTGGGTACACATGCCTGAAAACTAACTGCTTTTCTCCCACTGAGCCATGTCCATATCCTGGAGGCTCCTTATTGACAGTATTCTGTTAAGGGGCATACTGGGCACGGTGCTCTAATTTTTCTACCAGTTAGTTTATCTTGGCTCAGATTTTTAGTGTGGTAATGGTTCCAGACTGATAGCCAGTTCATAATCTACGGTGAAGAGTACTATAATAGTAAGTACGGCAGAAGTATATTGTAACTAAAAAGATGCTTTTAAGAGTTCCTACAAACTGGTGTTTTTAAAAAATTTTTATTTATTAAATAATCTCTGCCTCTGTGTGTGCCTGCACACCAGAAGAGGGCATTAGATCTCATCATAGATGGTTGTGAGCTACCATGTTGCCTCTGGGAATTGACTCTGGACATTGGAAGAGTACACAGTGCTCCTAACCTGTGAGCCATCTCTCCAATCCCCAAACCAGTGTTTTTAACTGGGTTTTCTTTATGCTGATTAAGTCTAAGTTGATTTGAATTATTTCTTGCAATTACTACAAACATTTGAATTGTACAATATAGTTAGTTGTTAAGTTTAAGCACAATGTAGCCTTTCTTAACTTCTAGTGTCACACTCTGGGATCCAAATTATAATATTGCTATTTTTATGATTATGGTCACATTAATTTGTCTTATGTCTATATTTGATAAAGATAAAATTGCTTAGCACATAGTAATCATGTGAATATTAATTAAATTTTGATGGCAGAATTTTGTATTGAGAGAAAAAAATATAGGCACATGTTTTCCACCAGGCTGAAATTTTGTACACAGGAAATATATGTATGCCTATTGTCAGTACCTTGGACATAGCAGATGATCAACAGGTGCTAAGCTAGAATGTTCTCAATTATTATATTCAATATGAGGTTTCAGTAGACATTTTTGTTCATTGTGCTGCTGAGACTGTGATTAAATAATTAGGCTTAGGTTCTTACAAGGAAGGTTTGTTTGAACTTGCAGCTTTGTGCAACAAATTTAATGCCTTCTGCTTCTTTTTAAGGTATGTTTATTTGGAAAAGTTCATGACCTTTCAGATGTCACTCCGAAGAGAAGATGTATGGCTCCCTTTGATGTCATATCGAAATTCTTTGCTAGCTGGTGGTGATGATGATACCATGTCAGTCATTAGTGGTATGAGCAGTCGGGGCTCAACTGTAAGGAGTAAAAAATCAAAACCATCAACAGGAAAACGGAAAGTGGTTGAAGGAATGCAACTTGCACTCCGTAAGAACCAATTGAATTGTCATTAACAGTCAGCTTGCTTTTCATGTGATATATGTTACTCAGTAGCAGCTTATGCAGTGTATCAATTTTTTATAAATGTTTTAACTTTTTTACATACATGGCAGGCAGTTATGTCACGTCAGGCACATTCTTTTCAGATAAGAAGCAATACAGACAGATTGTTACTTTTTAATCACTATTCTGTACTTTATATATATGAAAATTGTTCCAATACAATAACAGATCATTTTGTTACAACAAAAGATTTTTTTAAAGCTGTAATGTACCCATTAAAATTCTATTCAAAAATAATGAAATAATTGTGAAGAACATGATAGAAACTGAAAATATTTCTCATAGGTAGAATATATTATGCTTTATCGTATTGGATCCCTACCATCCCAAATGGTTTTCTGTATAAGCCTAGGGAATTTTTTTTTTTTTAAATTTCTGAGTTAGCTCTTAAACAACTTAGTACAGTTGTCAAGATCTATTGCAGTTATCATTGCTGAGGAACAAATGTCTTAAGATTTCAGGCATAGTAAGAATATGGTGCCTAAGCTAAAAAAGCCTAAATGTTGGTGGCTACATTTGAATGGAAGCATCTTGACTTACATATCTGACTTCACATCAACTGTCTTTCAGAAAGCTTTTTAATAATGCCTCCATCTTAGTATCTCAGTAAACTCCAAGAGCTATTGCTCTAAAAGACAGGATGTAGAAGGTACTGGTGTAAGGCCTTAGATTGCAAACCAACCGACATGGTATAACTTCTGTAATAGTCTGTTGTCCAAGAAATCAGTAGAGATTCCGGGGAAGAGATATATTCTTTCCCCTCATTTTTCTGTTTTGTTTTCATAAATGTTTTGGTCTCATATATCCTGAGCTGTCCTTGAGCTCATGAATCTCTTGCCCACTTTTCTAAAGGAAGGGACCAGAGAAGTGTACCATCAATCCTCTGAATCTTAATATAAATGGTATTGAAATTTGGGATTACATTTTTAATTTGCCATATAATTTAGCTCTCATTTATCAAGAGTGTAGAACTAAAACTTGATTGCTGGACCATTTCAGTTTGTATTGTCCAATCATAGTCTTAAAACTTGTCCAGCTCTAGACTTGGTTGTAAATCCCAGTATCACTTCAGTGAGCAAAGAATCTTGAATGAGATGTGTTTTATAAGAAACTATAGGAAGTATTTTTTATAGAAAAACTAGCAAATAAAGAGGATACTTCTTGCACATAATTGTAAATCTTCAAAATGTTTTCTTGGCTGAACAGTTAAAAATTTGTGCTGAGTCACCAAGTCACTCCTTTATAGTCTTTGTAACACAGTTATACATGGGTGTTTACATAACATCTTACAAATAGATTATTAAATTAAACAACATTTTTGTGAGTGCTCTTTTTTAGGTATATCTAAATACCTAAAAAGTATGTGTATCCATTAGTAAATTAGTGGAATGAAAGATAAATGGAAAATGACCCTGAACATACTGGAGCTATAAATAATCTTACTATATTGAATAACGTACAGTTAATATGTAAGCCCTTAATTATGTGAGCATTAGCATATTCTCAAACCTTTTTTCTTTAAAACTTTGTACATGTGCACAAAATGTGTACACAACACACACACACAGAATCTTATAGTAAAATAACTTTCCTACAAATTCATAGCCTATAAGTAATTTTTTCTTACTCTTAACTCAATGACACTGACATGAGATTTTTGCCATTTGTACAATGGGGACACATATATGTTTGGGCACATAGATTTTACAAGTGTGACTTTTAATAGTCCACTACTTAATGTAAATATAGAGTTTGTTTTCTTTGACATTAAGGTCTTAAGATCAGCTCAACCATTAATATTCCAAAGATATAAAACCACCCCTCCCACTAATCCCCATTCCTAGCACTGAATTGGATTTCTCTGGGCCATATACTTACTCTCCTATCTGGCCTGTTACTCATTAGTATTCCTCTTCTTAAGTTCACCATCAACACAACTACCACATTGACAAGAACATATAACTCAAAAAATTGCTTCTCTTTCTTCAAATTGTCAGCAATAGTTTCTTGTGATCTTAGCCTAGATCACATTATATTTTACATATTATTTCTTTGTTTAAATTCGTTTTTTACTGTGTACCTTAGGGTGGTTTGAACTTCTACTATTCCCACCTTATCCTGAGTACTGCAACCTGCCTAACATGTGCATGGCTACATAGTAAATCCTGCTTTTTTGTCCAGTCTTGTCTTTTCTTATTCTTTTAATCTTCACATACCTATGTAGGAAGGTATTAGATAGTCCAACCCCATGAAATCGCTATTTTTGTAGGTCAGGTATCAACAGATCGTTATGATTTGGTCATTGGTATTTCATGGCCCAGTGCCCTTGTGACCTGCCTAGAGAATCTTTCCTACTGCAAATACTACCTACTCTTGCTAACCATTGTTTCTAGGTAGCTGTCTCTAATCTATGTAACTACTCCCGTGCCCTCTATATTCCTTTTCTCCTAGCCTTTACCATACTATATTGTAACTGCTTACCAGTCCTTTCTTCATAAACAGACTACAAGCCCAGGATGGGACATACATCTTTGCATGACTCAGTTTCCAACACTAGTAAATGGAAATCAACCAGATGTTTGTTGTTTTAAATGGGTTATATTAGCCTACAAATAAGTTACAGCTAGTAGCAAAACTTCGTTGCTGTAAATTTTCTCTTTCAGCTGAAGAAAGCAGTAGTAGTGACAGTATGTGGTTAAGCAGAGAGCAAACACTGCACACCCCTGTTATGATGCAGACTCCACAGCTCACCTCCACTATTATGAGAGAACCTAAAAGATTACGGCCTGAGGATAGCTTCATGAATGTCTATCCAATGCAGACAGAACACCATCAAGCTCCTCTTGATTATAAGTAAGTACATTTAATCATTTTCTTTATTAGAACTTTATTAATTACATAGAAAAAAGTTAAGTTAAAAGAAGAATAAAATTCTCCTTGAAGCACGCAGGTAACATGGATGTTAGCTCAAAGACAACAAGAGGAAGCAAGGCAACAGCAGGAGAGAGCAGCAATGAGCTATGTTAAACTGCGAACTAATCTTCAGCATGCCATGTAAGTGAGAGTGCCTTATTGTCTGAGTCTAGGAAGTTCACTAATTCATTTAACATACTTTAATGTGTGCCGTATCTACAATTTCAGCAAACTCTCTAGAGTAACTAAGCTGAAATAATCAAGGAACTAGATTTTGGTCTTTCCAACAGAAAAATAAAATGTTTTAAGTAAAATATTAACTAGTTAGCCAAAGGACCAAATCAATCTTAAACTGGTCTGTTGGAAAAGTATAAATATGAATCCTTGTTTATTTTGGTACACAAAATTAAAAATACATTTGTGTTACATCTTAATTATATTCCCTCCTTAGTTCAGGTCCTCATCTTTCACCTGAACTATTGTAATTAGCTTTCTAACTGTTTTTCTTCCCTGAACCCCCCCACCCATTTATCTGCTCACCAAACCTCTCCCTTCACACTTTTCACCACTCCATCATTCACACTACCATCAAGAATTATAATTTTAGAATACAAATTTTAACATGTAACTTTCTTACTTAGAACTTTTCCACAGCTCCCCATTGCCTCTGCTGGATAAAGTTCAATTTGTTTACTTAGTTCATGGCATGCAAGATCTTTCAGAATATGCCCCCTGACTCCATTTTAGTATATCACATCTCATTACCTGGAAACTGGTAAATTCATGGTGAAAACAGGCTGAAGTGTTACCTTAAGTGAAGCTGTAATCCTCTGTGGTCCCATAACACTGTATATTTCTATTTCTTACAGCATTTGCCATATTGTATGATAGTTGTTTGTGTATTAAAATATTGTTCATTTCTCTAGACTGTGAGCTCCTCAAGGGCAGGGATGTCATTGTTGGTTAGAGCGTGACATATAGAAAACACTAAGCAAATATTCATGGAATGAGTAAAATGTTCAATGCCTAAATATTGTTCTTTGTTGTTACTGAACTCTGTATAGGAATGTGATAAATATTTCAAGAAATCTTATTAGTTGTGATTCTAAATGAAATTGCTGACAAGTAGAGTTCATGCCTTATATACATGGTTGTAACAATGTATTTTTTAAAACTTGGCAGATAGTGATTGATACCTCTTTTAAAATTTATATTGTTTTATTTTTTTGACTTTCAAATAAGAATTTGCATTTTCCTTAAATGATCGTTCACCACATGAATAGTGGCATGTATATATCCACTGCAGTTATCTCTGTAGTGGTCTTGAGAACCTCTGCTGAGTCACTAACTATGTGCCATATTACACCTTTTCTCCCATGGTCATCATCTATACTAGCACTTGGTTCTGTGCTAGTTTCTCTTGCCATATTGCCCATATTTTGTGTTTTACTTCATTGTTGATCCTACAGCCAATTTCTTAACTCCCAGTTAAACACCATCCAAATAGTTCAGAATTCTACTACATAATTATTTGGTTTATATTTATCCGCTAAAAACGTGGCTCCAGTTCTCAAGATCTTAGAGGTCTGAAACGTGTCATTATTCAGTACCATTTTCCTGTTTCTTATTGTTTGCAATTTGATTTGGTTCTTGATTATAGGCTATCGCCAGAGGACTCTTTTAGTGGTTGTACTGTATATGGTTGATGCTTTACAATGAGTTTTTTTCTTTCGTTACCTACCCTGTAACTAAAATAACTTCTGAATTACGTTTTCCTCCATAGTTTATATCACATATGCTCAGTGTATTGTAAAAGAAATCCAGAATGGACTTCTGGTTTTTGATTATATGATCTGCAAAAACACATAGATTGCCTTTACTTTTATTTCCAAAAAAATGTAATAAAATTGTCTTTTATTATCCAGAATTATTATGCCTGGCATTATCATATCTGTGCAGAAAGCCTAGATCAGATATTGTGATATACGTAGTATTGTATACATTGAAAATATTTAATTAAATAATGTAGGTTTTTGTGAGTTGTTTTTGGGATCTGAGGGCTCTTTGGAAATGAAAAGACGGTAATTTCAGCCAAACTGGAAAACAAGAAGTCTCATGCAGATTCACCATTGGGCTGCCTACTATATGCTGATATGGGCTAATTTGTGAACTTGGCTTTTGACTTTGATATTATTTTTCATTTCTTTCTATAATTTCTTGGCTTTGAGTTTCATAGTGTGGAGGAATTCAATCATCTTTGAGCATAAAGTGTTAATTTTTATGTGAAGCAGAATTAATTCTTTTAGTATACCCTCAGAGCATTTGATACACATATTTGTAATTTATTCAATTTTGTCAGGTGAATCTCTGTTTTCCCATAGTATATTGTAAGCTCCTCGAGGGCAGGAATCATGTTTTACTTGCTTCTTTTCATCCAATAGGACACAATAGAAGCCTGCTATGGAGTAGGCCTCATGTGAATGTGTGAGTGAATGCATGGCTCGTGTACACATTTGTTACTGAATGAGTGAGGAATTAATGATTAGCATTAGGTATAATCAGAATATGTGCATTCTGAAAATGTCATTTCTTTGGTCTGTTTTATTTTTAATGTGTACCCTGCCTACTTTCAGAAAGGATTTGAGGTATCTGCTATGTTCACATGTCAAAACTTCTCATTGAACATTGTATATGGCATATCAGAACTATCAGACTAAATGTATCAAAGTAATGTAGAATAAACAGAATTTTTTAGCATTTTAAAACAAGCGAATATTGGGATTTTGACACCATTGATGACATGATCAATGCCTAATCATTCTCCCTGACCTTTAATTTCATCATTTTCCATTTTGCTCAATTATAGAAAGCTACATATTTGCTGCCTATATATTAGTACTTTTGCATTAGTTCAGATCTTTACTTTGTTTTATATTTCTCTAGTCGACGTGGTACAAGCCTAATGGAAGATGATGAAGAGCCCATTGTTGAAGATGTTATGATGTCCTCAGAAGGAAGGATTGAGGATCTTAATGAGGGAATGGACTTTGACACCATGGATATAGACTTGGTAAGAAAAAAACAGAAGTAATAATTTTTCCTGTGTAAATCCTTTGAAAATGTATTTGATATTTCTTAGAGAAAGATAAAAAATAAGTTCTACAAAGGTGTTAAAGTCATTTTCAGGGAATTAAGTGTATGTGAAAGATTGAGGCATGTGTACAGTTGGTGGTGATTGTGCTATACCTTAGTTTGATGTACCTGTGCCACATAAGAGAAAAGAGTCTTTTTATATCCAACATTTGTAGTACACATTTTTAAAGCTTGATTTCATCCCATTGGCTGTTTTCAGAAAACGATTAAAACCCACACACTGAACACAATTTATTCTGAGTCAGGCAGTTGAAGAGTACATAATTTAAGATAAAAGTTACGTGTTTTGGTTAGCTTGCGAAAACTGATTACATGGGCAGTCCAAGGCACAGTAATGTTGATTACATTCTTTTTCTTTTTTAAAAAACAAATTAATTTTTATTAAATACAGTTTAGGGAGGGTGGGATTAGGTGGGGACAATGGAGGGGGCTACACCTGGGATACATTCTTTTTCTTAAAGGAAAGTTAAACAAGCTGAATATACAGTAGAGGAACAGTTTGAGTTTTAAACGGTCTCAGCTGGGCTGCTGGTGCACTTAGGAGGCAAAGCAGGTGGATCTTCCATGACAGCCTTGTCTATAGTGAGAGTTTTGGGACAGCCAGATTACACAGAGAAACTCTGTCTCACAAAACAAACAAACAGCAATTGTTTTAAATGGTCTTAAGGCATAATATTAACTCAATTGCAAGTTTGAGGAAAAGTTCAGTTTCTGAAGACAAGACGTATTTTTTGAAATAATAAAAATATATATTTACATTTGAAGTTAATTTAGTAATGTGCAGAATTATACTTCATTTTGCTTAGACTACAAAAACCAAATAATATTCAGTGTTTATATGCTACATTTAAAAAGTTGTAAGTCTAAACATATCACATTAACTATTTTAAGTATCATATCAGTTTCTAACTCTTCATTGTCAAATATAGTTTATTGCATTCTCTTTGTTCTTTTTTTCTAATTTATTTTTTATTAATTACACTTAATTCATTTTTTATCCCAGCTGTAGTCCCCTCTCTCATCTCCTCCCATTCCCCTCCCCAAGTCCACTGATAGGGGAAGACCTCCTCCCCTTGCATCTGACCCTAATTTATCAGGTCTCATCAGGACTGACTGCATTGTCTTCTGGCCTGGTAAGGCTGTTTCCCCCATCAGGGGGAGGCGATCAAAGAGCCAGCCACTGAGTTCATGTCAGAGACAGTCCCTGTTCCCATTACTAGGGAACCCACTTGGAGACTGAGCTGCCATAAGCTACATCTGTGCACGGGTTCTAAGTTATCTCCATGAATGGTCCTTGGTTGGAGTATCAGTTTCAGAAAAGAGCCCTGTGCCCAGATTTTTTGGTTCTGTTGCTCTCTTTCTGGACATCCAGTCCCCTTCAGGTCTTTCAATCTCCCCATTCTTTCATAAGATTCTCTGCACTCTTCCCAAAGTTTGGCGATGAGTCTCAGACATGTGCTTTAATATCCTGCTGGGTAGAGTCTTTCAACGACCCTCTGTGGTAGGCTCCTCTCCTGTTCCCATTTTTCTCCTTCTTTCGATGTCCATCCCATTTGCCTTTCTGAGTGAGGATGGATCATCTTATCAAGGGTGCTTTTTCTTGCTTAGCTTCGTAAGATCAAAAATTGAAGTGAAAATACATGGTAGAAAGGATGCAGAGAAAGGGGCACCATCCTCCATTGCTTGTAGCAATGTAAACTTGTACAACCACTTTAGAAATCAGTCTGGCACTTTTTCAGAAAACTTTTTCAGGAATAGTGCTACCTCAAGATCCAACTATACCACTCCCAAGCATATATCCAAAGTATGCTCAAGTAAACAACATTTGCTCAACCATGTTTGTAGCAGCTTTATTTGTAATAGCCAGAATCTGGCAACAGCCCAAACCCAGATGTCCCTCAACGGAGGAATGGATATAGAAATTGTGGTACATTTACACAATGGAATACGACTCAACAATTAAAAAGAAGGAAATCATGAAATTTGCAGGCAAATGGTGGGAACTAGAAAAGATCATCCTGAGTGAGGTATCCCAGAAGCAGAAAGACATACATGGTATATATTCACTTATAAGTGGATATTAGACATATAATATAGGATAAACATACTAAAATCTGTACACCTATAGTTTCTTACATTCTTGATAGAAACCTTTTGAGGTAGACTTCCATGTTGGATGTAAAGTAAAATTACTTGAAACTTGAGAAGACAAATATTTGTTTTTATTTTTCTTGGGGTGGGGTTCGAGACAAGGTCTCTTAGGCTTGATAGTGTAGCCTTGTCTGTCCTAGAACTCACTCTGTAGACCAGGTTGGTCTGGAACTCATAGATTGATCTGTTCCTGCCTCCCAATGCTGGGCTTAAAGGCATGCACCTCCATCGCCTAGCTTAAGGTGTTTTTGTTTTGTTTTGCTTTGCTTTTAATATATTTCATGTTTAAAGTTCATGCAGTATGCTTATATATTTCATATCAGCAACAATCTCATTTAACTTTGTGAGATAGATTGAGGTGATGGAAGATATTGAAGCTTAAAAGTTAACTAATACTCCAACCAAGGAACATATAAACTAGAACCCCTGCCCAGATGTAGTCCGTGGCAGCTCAGTACCCAAGTGGGTTCCCTAGTAAGGGAAACAGGGACTGTCTGACATGAACTCAATGGCTGGTTCTTTGATCACCCCCACCCACCTGAGTGGGGACCAGCCTTTCCAGGCCACAGAGGAGGACAATGCAGCCAGTCCTGATGAGACCTGATTAGCTGGGTTCAGAGGGAAGGGGAAGAGCACTTCCCTTATCAGTGGACTTGGAGAGGGGCAGGGAGGAGATAAGGGAGGAAAGATGGGATTGGATGGGGGCTACATGTGGAATACAAAGTGAATAAACTGTAATTAATATAAAAAATAAAAAGTTAATTTGCAAAAGTTAACTTATTCAAGGAGAAGAAATCTTAAAATTGGGAAAGCCGAAATTGTAAGAAGCCAAGTCCCTGTGCTTGTGGTACATAGTGTACTACTGGGTATTCTCCTTGAAAGAAAGAAGTGCTATCTCTTTAGAGTAATGTCATAAGATGCTTTTCAAAACAAATGATATTAGATATTAGTAGGGTTTTTTTTTAAGTAAAGTGAACAATATGTTACTGTTTTACTTTATGACTATTTTTCTACTAATGAAGTTCTTTGTGCTAGCAACCGTTCTGTATTTTTGGGGGATGGGCGGTTGGCAAGCAAAGACTGAAGTATTTTGAGATACACTTTAAAAGTAACATACACTATTCAGAAAAGTTATGACTTTAATATGGATATTTTATTTACTACCTGGTTTATATGTATAAACAAACGTTAGCTTTCTCTTTTTTTCTTAGCCACCATCAAAGAATAGAAGAGAGAGAACAGAACTGAAGCCCGATTTCTTTGATCCAGCCTCAATTATGGATGATTCAGTAGGTTTAATTTAAATATGCCCCAGGATTCTTAAATCTAAATTTTAGGCCTTGATCTGATGCAGTAATGATAAAAGATTAAAAGTACTTTAGAATTCTTGACCAACCAGAATTTGTATGTTAAGCATTTAGACTTTTCCTAAAGGGTTGGGTTGCCTGTTGAGGGATTTCAAATAAGGGAATGACATGAGTCAGAATTGTATCTCAGCAAGAATTCTTTGGTATTTATGGATGGGCAGATTAAATAGGATAATAATTACAATATAAAGGCATGGTAGAAACCAATAACATATAACTCATCATAGTAGTAACACACACCTGTAATTGCTGCACTTTGGAAGCTAAGAGAGGATCATGAGATTAAGGCCAACCTTGAACATACTGTCTCAAAAAGAGAAAAAAAAAAACCTGAAGAAGGGTTTTAATAAAGAAGAGTGAAATTCAGATACCTGGGATATAATATTTTCCTGACCTCTCCAGATAGGTATTTTTATTTCTGTTTTTTTTTAATACTTCTTACATACTTTGTGATAATTACCATAGTGGTATAGTAAGATAGGTTCTTAGACATTGTGGCCCCTGGTAGATTGCAGTCCTTGAAGGCTGTTTGAATTCTTCCTAATTCTAGAATTCTGTTTGAATACTAGAATTCTGTTTGAATTTTTCCTAATACTATAATTACTTAATTTTTTCAAATAATTTGCATATCTTTTCACCTGACTTTTTTGTGTTTACCCATTCAGTCTGATTCTTCCTATACCTAACTTGGGTAACTATTGCCCTATCCTCTGACATAGTGTTATCTTCTACTTACCTGTTTCCTTGGCCTTGCTTACCTCACAATCTGTTTTAGACAGATCATGGAAATGTTTCGACAATCCACATCATATAATATATTAGTAATTGGTTGATTAACAAAGAAGCTTTTTAGAGAAGCACATATAGATATCTTTTGACAGAACATCTTATTTATTTAGTGTGTGGTGCAGGGAGTTGAAGAAGGACACTTGCTAGGCAAGTGCCTTATTCTGAGCTATGTTCTCAGCCCTTAGGGAGAGATTGTTTTAAATTCCATTCATTCTCAATTTCTAATGTACAAGTGAGTCATCCAGAGATCATATAAAAATACAACTAGATTTTTATCTCTGAAGGGCTTGAGGTTATACTTTTTTAACTTCAGGTCTGTGCACCATTCTTGGTTGTATAGCAAGAGATAAACTAACCTACCCATAATTCTATAGTTTAATTGTATACTGAATTATGTGGTATCTAAATATATTTAAAAGCATTAGAGTATTAACTTGATAGTAGTTACTGTCATATCTACTTAACTAAAACTAAGATCTTATTTGTGTGAAATACCAAGAAATATGATTAAGAAGTTGAAATGGGAAACTACAGTAATGTGACTTTCCATATTTTTTCATGTATTAATTTAGTACCATGATCTTATAGTATTGTTTCCTTCATTGCATACTATGGATATAAAATGATGTTCATCAGAGTACTAAAAAGTAACAAAACAGGCATAGAAACTTGTTTGTACCCATTTTGACATTTAACATGTAGAGAAAACTACAACCTGATGATATGAAAAAAAATAGGAACCCATTTATTAATATAACTGTATTACTTTCTAATATATATTGAATATATGAAATAGACAATAGCCTTTGTTGATTTGATAATGTTCTAGATGACTGTGCAAAGGAAATAAATGAGCAAATGTATACATATAATTTTATAGCATTGCCACATGATGGCAGTGTCCCATAACTGACTGTTCAGTAATCTTTAAAAGATTTGCATTCATTTAGAAGTCTTTGTTCATATTAAATTTTATGACTTTAGAAAATATATGTGTGGTTCATAAGAAGTAGAATTAATAGAAAATACTGAATGTTAAAAATCTGGTTTTTTTTTTTTTTTTTTTTTTTTTTTTTTTTTTTTTTACAATAAATACATTGTGATTTGACCTATGATAAATGTCCTCAAAATAGTAAAACTGGAATTTGAGTTCCTTAATGCCCAGTTCTAAGATTCTCTCATTCTAAGTGAAGTAACTCAAAGTACTTAAATATAGATACATCAGGCTGCAACTAAATAAATCTTTTGGGACATGAAATTCACATTATTTAGGAATGGCAGCATACAGATTTTAAATATGTCATTTTAGAGTTGCATGTACATAGGATTCTAGTTTAATAGTATGGTTGTTTTCATGCCTGCAATCAAAATTGGTCTATCTCCTCTGATTTGGTCTTTTTCCTGTCAGTATTTGTATAATACCCCAACACTTTATATTTGTACTTTAAGATACATGTTCCAATGCTAATGCTGACATCTAAAATTGGTACAACATGTTAACTCAGAAAACATCACTAGTGTCACTTGTGTTAAACTTATCATACTGGAATTATCTGCAGTAAAAAATTAGAAAAAGGAGAGCTTAAAATACTAAAGCTAATTTAATAATTTTCTAATGGGAAAATATGGTTGTAAGCCAGTATGAACAAAACAAAATGAATGTCAGGTGTTCAGATGCCTCATGATACACCACTCTGAAAAATACCTGAGATCATCTTAGTAGTGTAATCTAGAGTTAAAATTGACTAATGGGGTTAGAGAGGTGGCTCATTGTAAGAGCACTTGCTGTTTCTTTAGAGAACTTGGGTTCCATTCCTGGCACACATGTAATAGCCAACAACTGCCTGTAACTCTAGTTCCTGGGAACCACAACATAGCACTCATGTGGTGCACACACACACACACACACACACACACACACATATGCAGGCACAGTACTTAGGTAAATATTTTACCTCTTCATCAGTAATTGAAGCTCTACTTACTCAAAATATAGAGGATTTTGACTAGAAGCATCATCTAGACCCCTTTAATGGAAACATTCTAACCATCCAACTCTTGACCAACACAAGAACGCTGAGACTTTTTAAAGAAGTAATTGATGAAAGTATGGCAGTTAGGATTTATGGAGAATATGTGATTCCTTTTTATTTTCATTACTGGACAGTCCAAGCCCTTTACTTGATAATTTGCTAAAACAATACACTAATTTTCATTGTTTAAAAATTCCTCAGATAAAAACAGTTCAAGAGGTTTTGTCTTTTGTTGAAGTCAGAAGTCTGAACTTTTAGTTATCTCTATCTCAGTTCCTTCTGGCTTTGCTAAGTGGCCTCACTTGCTCATTTTCAGTTAGCTTGCTTAACTGGTCTAATAAATAAGTACTAGAATTTTAATTGTAACATTTACCATAATATATATTGGTCAAAGTTACATGCTGCTTTAGGGGAAAAGGTGGCATTATTTTTTTTTTTTTTGGTGATAAGTTATTGTCAGACTTGGCCTACCAATCTTTTTCTAACTGGAATGCATTAAAAGAAATTACCAGAACTCATTTTGCTCAGGTTTTAACTTAGTTGCTTTCTTAAAATTTTTATTTCTGTTAATTAACCTAGACTAGATTTTTTTAAAGAAAGGTTTTTATTTTTTTACATAGCTGCATTTTTCTTTAATTTCTCTCGGTCTTCATGTTCAGATAGATGTCTGTTAAAAACATCACCCACTTGAGGGGACAACTGGCTAAGTTCATAAGACTTTCTTAAATTATTCCAATGGATTCTTCTGTAAGGTTATACTGGGAGCTGCATCTGTTTGCTCATTCAACAAATGTTGAGTTCAGACTTTAGGGGATTATGTAACAATTATGCCAGAATCGGTTTTCTTAGTTATATTTGTGAGTTAATTGGCATCTTAATGAATACTAGAGTCATTTTATTGTTTATAAATGCTCGCTATATATATATATATCTGATGTTTCAGAGTGGTTTTATAAGTATTTTATTTAACATAACAATGATAGAGTATTATAATGTTTACAGATATTTATTAATAAATGAATGACTATTTTAACGAGATTTTTTTTTCCCTCTCTCAATAGGTTCTTGGGGTGTCAATGTTTTAATACCAGTACACATTTAAATCTGTGGTGAAGTCATTCTCTAAGTGGAAGAGGAAATTTTAAAATAAAGTGTGGTAGATACAGTGAAATTCTGTACAGATTTTTCTCTAAGGAGAATATAACATGCTTATGCTTATCAAGATGAAGTGCATTGAGGGGCAGTTTTGTTTGCCTGAAAAAATAAAGGACAAGTAAACAATTTGATGATAAGCTACAGTTTTCTTAGAAAGTAAATATTTTATTTATGCGCTGTTAGTTGGCTTTTAAATGAATTATTTCATGCTTTTTTAAAAAAAATATATAACAATCCGAAGAAGTATTTGGTACAGATAAGAATCTTCTCACATTTATTTACTGGTTGTACTAAATAATGATGACCTCTGCTGGATTTCTGTTTACATCCATGAAACAAAAGTTAAGGTTGGATTTGTTCCCTGACCCTGAAATTGTAGGATAGAATTGTTTTTAGCATTCAAAATTTAAATGCTTAAAACATCAATCAACAAAACTTTGTTTTAAATGTTGTAATTGTGGGAAAAAGTTAAACTTATAAGCAGAACTTTTACAATTTTTTCATCTGAAATGTATTTTAAGATATTTTTAAAATTCAAGAGCTTCTGTATACTTTTCAGAAATATCCAGATGCAGTGAACTGCCAGAAGGTAACCAGTCTCAAACATGCTTATCCCATATCATCCCTGAAAGTTTGCTTGTCCTTTAAGATAAAAATGTAATGTTGTGATATTCCTTCCAGTAGTGCCACTGTATTTTGTCTCCAAATAAAAGAAGCTTATTGTAGTATGTTTGCAGAAAAATTTAAACAAAAATTATACAGCTTATTAGAGTGTGGGAATAGGGATCTAAATTTTAAATAAAATTATATATATATAAATTGGTGCTGATTTTATAATTGCGCAGTTTGTTTAGTTTTTTCTTACTTTTCAATTCCAACTTAAAATTATGAGGTTTCAGAAATATATTGAAAGTTTAACAATGTTTAAAAATAGAAAAGCATGACTGTTCATGCTTTAAAATGATTTTTAAATTTGTATTTTATATTGTTTTATCTATCTGTCTTTGCAAGCAGTCTTCAGGTTAAAGATACTTCTAACAGGTTACAGTACATTTCCTCTGTATGTAAATTAGATGGGATAATAGAATTCATAACCCATAATATTCTTTGAAAGCTTAGCTTTAAACTTCATTTTATGTCCTTTCACAAATGAATTAGTTTAAAACAGAAAGTGGCCACTTGCCATTTTGACATCAGCTCATTTGCAAGGCTTAGGCAGCTAGACATTGTTTAAAACAAAATATTAACTTATATTACATGTATATCTATCTTTCGTCAGTTGTCTCTCAGTTCTTGAGGTATATTATTTTAATCATTCCATGCCTTAATATGCTTGCAATACAAGAATATCTTCAAATGTGTGAATACCAAAAGGTTTCTGGTTTTTTGAGTCAGGAAGTCAACATTGGGCTGTGGTAGCCAAAAAACCATAGGAAAGCTGAAAGACCACAAATACACTTATTTTATTAATTCATGGTTAACAAATAAAACCAGACTTGTCTAACATAGTTTCCATCAACAAACATTGTTATGTGCAAATGTATTGCATATGTTCTTTTACACACCACTGCATTTTCCTAGAACTGCTGAGAGGACTGTATATATGATTTTAAACCTAAGTTGATTTTTTTTTTTTTTTGCTCACTCTTAAAAGGAGTACTTCTTTGTGAAAGCAGTTCTTACGGCTTTGTTTTCAACCAGCTAAAAATGTTTTATATATTACTCTAACCTGTTGTCCTCCACATTCTATTGTCCTAATTGTACTGTTTTCTGATTTGTATTTATGTCTTGAGACAGTAACTTTTTGAATAAAAATAAACCTACAGTATGTTGTATGCTTTATCTCTTGTAATCGAAAGGGGGGGCTCTAAATAACTTTACAAATTTTATTATCATACTTTAATGGGTTTGAGTAGATTATTTATAGAACACATCACCAGTTTATATTTTTAATAAATAACATATTTTTAAATGTGACTAAATCCCTAGTTGGGTTGTTTAAAGTAGAAACCTATAACTATTATCTGCTGTAGATTAAACACACTTTGAAATGCCTATGTTGTTCATTCAGAATATATTTGAATGCCTAATCTGTCAGATGTGGAACAATTTCCCCCTTTCAGTTCAATGTAAGAAGATAAAACATGAAGTTCAAACTAAGTGCTAGGACAGAAATCTAGCAAGGAGTCCTGATTTCAAGAAATCTGTTTTGAATAATGGGCTCATGACATGGAAGTAAAGGCCAGCATGTGAAAAAAAAATTATTGAAAATTGTGTCTTTTGTATGATAAAATTTGCATTGTGCTCTTTTAAAAGTTATTGCTCTCAGTGTACATTGTTCATTCTGATTGATTTATAAATCATGCAAGGAGTCTTTCTGTCATTAGTGGTTCTGAACTAAACTACAAAATGGTAGATAATATTACTGGCCATTGTTTCAAGGAGTTTGTATGTAACCACTCACAAACCTTCACGACATGAGACATGTCATTATCTCCCGCCCTCTTATTTTTACAGAGCAGCAGGAATTAAAGAAAATGAGTCACAGCACAGTTAGTAAACATTATGCAAAGATGAATGGGTAATAAGTGATGGGGCTGGTATTCAGACCCAAACTATCATGCTGTCTTATGTCCTACAAAGTGTTACAAATTCTGTAATACTGAGAAATGTGTGCAACCAGCTGTGCTGGCTCATGCCTCCCACTAATCCCACCACTCCAGATGCTAAGGCAGGAAGATTACTGCAAGTTCAAGAGTAGCCTGGTCTACATAGCAAGTCCCAGGCTAACCAGGCTTATATATAGACTACTGGAAAACACATTGTAAAACGGCATAGTAGTCATTGTGCCATGGTTCTTTAAGGTATTTACTTGGGTAAAAAAATTAAGTGGTGTGGATAAAACATGAAAATGGTTGCCTATCCAAAAGTTAAATTTTACAAATAAAAATATTCACAACTAGTTACTTGAATCTTACAGGTTTCTACTATTCAAATATTAAAAACATAGAGGTGCATGGTTTTTAAGCACAGAATATGGGAGGCACAAGGTTGGCGTCTCTGAATTCTAAACATCCGGGTCTAATAATTTGGATGTCAGTTGCTTATCATATACATCTTGATGTTTTGAAGTGTTCATACATTGTGGAATTTGTAAGCCAAACGGGGTTATTATTTTTGTGATGAGAATATTTAAAAATCTCTTAATGCTTTTTCAGTAATGCACATTACTATTTAAATAGACATGTTATATTTACAACAGGTATTTATTCCAAATTGCTTCTAATTGAAATTTTGTGCTCTTTTGCCATCTTTCTCAAACTGCTTTTCCCCCAGCCTCTGGGAATTACGACTTGGCTTCTCTGAGTCTGATATTTTGGATTCTACATACAAGTGAGTTAGTGTCTGGCCTGTGCCTAGATCATGTCATTTGAGATAATGTTTTTGTGTTGTAGGGGAATTTTAATTTAAAACATGGCTGCTCATCCAAAGACCTGGGTCTGTGTGATCCAGCTGGAATAAAGATACACTTTTAATCCTAGGGGACAGAGGCAAACAGATTTCTGAGTTTAAGGCCAGCCTGGTAGAGATCAGCTTTCAGGTAAAGAAAAGCTTATGTTCAGGCTTTAATCCCATGCTCAGGAGATCTCTGAGTTGTAGTCAGTTCTGTTCAACCACTTCAGTTGAGTCACTAATTTGAGAGGAAATACAATGGAGTTTAGTCCATGGCCAGTCAGTTCATGGAATCCAGAGAGAGTTTTTTACCTGGAGTTTTATAGAGAGAAGTTGAAGAGAGAACAACCTATACACAGGTGAAGACAGTAAGCCAGAGAATAAGAAGGAGCCAGAAAATTAGAACAGACTGCTAGAATTAGTTTGAGATGAAACAGAGCGATTCAGTCAGAAGCTAAGAGAAAACCCAGTTTGAATCTGTCAGCTTGGAAAGGAGTTTGAGCCAGAATGAAAGGACTAAAAAGGGTGGGATTTTTCAACATAAGATTCAGAGGCTTAAAACATTCTAGGTCTAGATTAGATTGTATGGGGGCCTACAAACTTCAGGCCTAGGGATCATCCAATCCATGTTTTCCTAATGCTTGGGTAAGGTGCTTGGCTCATTCATCAGAGGAAATAAAAACATTTTCATTGTGTTGTGCATGCCCTTACAAATGGCAGAAGTGATGAATCATAATGCTAAGTCAAAATTTTAGGGCAACCCACAATGTGTTCCATGAATTTACTAATGATTTGATGGTTTTGAGCGCTGTCTAAGATACTTCTTGGACACTTTTGTGTAAACAATATTTGTGAAGTGTGGTAGGACTGCTTGCAAATCACTTTTCCTTGTTACAGTGAGGCCTAAGTAAAGCAGATGTATAACAGAGTGATGCCATTTACTTCAGATTATGTAAAGGAATAGTTTTATTCTATCCTCTGTATTGTGTTTGTTGATGTTATGATTTATGTTTTATAATGTGTCTCAAAAGATTATTTTAGATATTAAATTATTTTTCATGAAATTTTTTTAGACTGGTGAAGGCTCAGTTAGTAAAGACACTTTCTGCCAAACTGATGATATGATTTTGAATTCTGAAACCAACATGGTAAAAGGAGAGAACTGATTTTTGCAAATTGTCCTGTGACCTCCACAAGCATACTGGCATTCATGAGTACAAGGTGGCACTCATGTGCATGCAAACATACACACACGGAATAAATAAATTCAATAAATTAAATTGTATTTGTGTTACTGAGGTTCAAACTCGTGGCCTCACACATGCTATGCTACATAAAGAGCTATATCTGTGGTCCAATTAATTGCTTTTTAAATTTAATATTAAAGCTGTAATTATGATACATCATCAGTTTAGTATTAGAAAATTCTGTGTACTTCCATTAGTGAGTTAAAGTTAAAGCCTACCTTAATATCTTTTCATATTTTTTTCATGTTAATGATTAACATTTTTCTTTCATCTTGAACATTTCTTACAGTTTTTCTGATAAAAACAGCCACGTTCTTTGTTCAGAAAGTCTTACTCCTCTGTATCTGAAAGAGCTTTGTGATTATAGTGATTTTTGTTGACTTTTTCTGTTTTAATTCATTCCTATGTTGCTGGATTTTTTAAAAAATATAATCTCATTGTACTTCTTTCCTCTTTCCAACCACTTCCATGGCTTACATCCCCTCACTCTGAAATTCATGCCTTTTCTTTGTTGTTTTATATATATGTTTGTATGTATACATTTGAAAATATGTGTAAACACAACATGTTGAATCTGATTACTGTTGCTTATATGTTATGTCATTAACTGGCTGTTCATTTGGAATTAGGTAACCAATTAAAGAGCTCATCTCTGGGAGTGACTAGTTGTACCATTCTCAGTATTCCTTAGTTGCCTGTAGTTCTTTTGTCTGTGGCTTGGGCCCCATGAGATTTCTCTCTATTCAGATTGTCTTTGTTCAAGTCTTAAGGCAGCCATATTGATGTGATTTCCTAGGTATACCTTCTCTTACATTTCTGTGAGACACAATCATACAGCAAACTTCATCATTTATGTGGCTCATAAAATCTTAACTGCCTTTTCTTCCTTGATGTTCTCTGAGCCTTAGATTCAGGTGTTATATTGTAGATATATCCTTTGGATTTGGGCACCCAAGATCAGTTATTTTCTATATTTTGATCAGTTGTGATTTTTTTTTTTTTTGTGATGGTCTCCATCTGTTGCAAAGAGAAATGTCCTTGATGAAGAGTGAAAGCTATATTTTCCTATGACTATAAGAAATGTCTAGGGCTGGAGAGATGGCTCAGAGGTTAAGAGCACTGGCTGTTCTACCAAAGGTCTTGAGTTCAATTCCCAGCAACCATATGGTGGCTCAGAACCATCTATAATGAGATGCTGTGCCCTCTTCTGGCATGTAGATGTACATGCAGGCAGAATAGTGTATAAATAATAAATAAATCTTAAAAAAAAGAAATATCTATTTCAGTAACTGCTAGGAAAAAATGTTAAGCAGTACCATATAAGATAAAGGTGTAGCAAAAGACTTTCTGAATAGGACTCCATTTGCCTAATACTTTAAGGCCAACAATTGGTAATTCAAACCTCATAAAACTAAAAAGCATCAGCATAGCTAAGGAAACAGCCAGTTGGATGAATATGAAGCCCATGGAGTGGGAAATAATCTTTGCCCCTTAATAGAATTTTACCCAATAGAATTAATATCTAAAATATATAAAGAATTAAAAAATAATAAAAGGGGTGGAGGTCTGTATCTGAACTGAGAGTTCCAAAAGAATGAAACAAAAAAAATGATTAAGAAATATTTTTTAAATTTACATAATTCTTAGCAGTTTGGGAAAGGCAAATCAAAACAACTTTGAAATTTCATCTTACCCAGTGATAATGAGTCAGATCAACAAATGACAACAGATATTGAAGAGGAAGTAGGGAAAGACTTTGAGCATGTCCTCACAGCTTACTGGATTGTAAGGTTTCCGATGCGAAATCTGCTACTAGACTGATTGAATCCGTATGTGATATGCTGCCTTTCTTTTGCTGCTTTCAAAGTATTCATTGTCTTTGATTTTTTTTAAACAATTTGGTTATAACATACTCTTTCTCAATATGGGTATTGACATGGCAAAGTACAGGCAATTCTGCCATCTTTTATACATAGTTTCTAAAGTTGATCATCTGTGTTTTAGCCCCTAAGAGGTAGAGAAACACAGAAACTGCTTCTTTTTATTTTTGCCTCTTGATTCTTGCTTGAGTTCCTGCCCTGGCATCGTTGAAACTTTGGTGTTTATCATAGGAATAGAAATCAAACTA